CCTGTTCTTCTGACGGCGACAGCTCTCCCTGGGTTCTCTCGGCGCGCATCGCAAATCGTCCCGATCCGCGGGGGGTCATACCACCTCCGCGTCGTTCTTCCCGCCGGCCCTTGTCCTCGGCGTCATTCCGGGCAGTTACTCGCTCGGGATCGGATCTCTCCCCCGGGCTTCCTTCCACTTCGTTCCCCGCCGGAACTCCTTCCTTCTCCGGTGGTTCTCCCATTCCGGACAGCTTGGCACCACTACGTAGTGACATGCCCGCCATGACTTTTGTTTGTAAAGAAGCCCTCGACGCGAGTGGCTAGTTTCCTTCCCTAGGCACAAATGGCCGCACTAGTTTGGCTTCTCCGACGTGGATCTAGCAGTTGCTCAGCTTGACGACAGATCACAACTGAATCACAAGCTTTCCCACAATTACGAGAAGACAAACAAAAGTGAATTGGTGTCCTTGCTGTGCTAGTTTTGGCTTCCTGTCACCCCTCGTGAATCTGTGCCTTGGGGTCTGCCAACTACCTCTCGCACCGCCCAACCCTTGGGCTCCTTTCCATGCATGCGACTCGGGCAAGCCTCGTCACCCCTGTCCCCTTTCCGCTTCACCGGTGGCCCTTGCCAGGTCAGCCGTCGTCCCGTCCTCATTTCGAGTGGCCCCGCCTCGATTCTTCTATCCCTGCCACAATTCTAATATCACCACAAAACCCCCCCCCTTACCCGTACACTCTACAGTACAATTTATAACAACAATACAACAATACTACTTCCCTTACGATTTACCCAACCATACTCACCTTAGGAGCTGTCTCATGAACTTTTGTGCACTCATTCGCAAGAGTCATGCGACAGTGTAGCTGGCGAGGAAGCTGTAGCTTCCCTCCACGGACGGATCTGTGAGCCCAAGGCCACCAAGCGATACAGGGAGCGAGGCCTGCGCCCAAGTGCGCGCGGTTTCCTCGGTCCCTCGCGGGTGTATGATGCCACACGCTGTGAGCAAAGTTTCCAGCATATGCCTTCCCCATTCGGACCACTCCTCCTTGGGCAGGGACGGGAGGGGGGTCGTGCGGGCCAAATAGGATACACGGCGCGAAATGCACCGAGACAGCAGCAATCCAGCCAGCTGCGGCTCCATCCGCTCGATCAATCCTAGCGGCGTGCCCATTGCCTCCAAACTGGAGCGCACGAACGCGGAGGTAGCCCCTGGGGTGCCGATGTAACTGCCTAGCACTTTCAGCCCGTCGCCGCTGAGTGGAACTCCATCGGGCAGGGAGACGTCCGCGGTTGACCCATTGGACCATGCTCCGCACTTGGCGGGGTTGTGCTTCAGCCCAACCTCCGCGAGGAGGCTCGTGAAGTGATCGAAGGCGGCCGTGCACGACGGCGGGTCGCCCAAGAAGGTCACGTCATCTGCGTAGGCCAGGCAGATGACATCCGGATGTGCCTCCGCGACGGCCTTCAGAGCTGGATGCATGGCAGCGGCAAAAAGGAGGGGGCCGAGGGGGTCTCCTTGGCGGACTCCAGTCTCGCTGCGCAAAGGTGCGTGGTTGAACGCTGCGTCTAGGTGCAGCGTGGACGGTTGACCGTAAGAGAAATTCACCAGAGGTAGTAGTGATTCCAGCTGCGACCCTTTTATTGCTGTCACTATGGCGAGGCGATCAACGCTGTTGAAAGCGTTAGCTAAATCCGCTTGCAAGACTAGCGCTTCCTGATTTGCCGAGGTAAATGTTCTAACTATGTGAATCACTGCTTCGGCCCCTCCCGGCACAGCTACACCAAACTGTAAAGGTAAGAAGAACTCTCTGGCCGCCTCTGCTAGCTGGGTAAGTGCTGCTTTGGCTGCTAGACGGAGGATGCATTCGCCTATTGCGATTGGCCTGGTTCCTCCGTCGGGCTTGTCTAGGGCTATCAGCCGGGATGCAGTTAGAAGTCCCCCAACCTCCGAGCGCAGCTTCCCGCGAAGGATCGTGTTGACAAGCGCATGTAAGTGTGAACAGACTGCAGAGTGCATCAGGGAAGCCTCGCGCAGGTGCTCGAATGTCGTGCCTGAGGGGCCTGCCCCCACTCCGTTCTCACATTTCGTGAGTAGTTTCAGGAAGACTTCCCGCGACACTGTCAAGTAAGTGTCTGGCTCTAGTTAGGGCCACGGTGCGTCAGGATGCTGGGCACGCGGGTGTTTGGCGCGAAGGGATTCCAGAACTTCTGGGGTCGGCGTGCTGACTGGAGTGGCCTCGAGTGCCATGACCGCCCTCCGCAGACTGCCACGTCGCGCCAGGCCTTCTGCCCTGGAGATGACTCCCAGGTCATCTGGTTGGTGCCTGGGGGGTGGGGGCAGCTCCAGCGAATCCACTGTTTCCAGGTAAAGTGATTCCCATTCCCCTCGCAGGAATTTACGCAATCTGTCTCTGGTCGCCTTCCAATCAGGGTGCCTCGGCGACTGTTGACGCAATGTCAGGCGAGCGGCAAACAGCAAGACCGTCCAGGCTTGGGTGGAGTCAGGGTCGTCGGCAAGTCGCAGCAATGGTGTCAGCAAAACCATTGCGAAAAGCAGGCGCAGCTTTTCCGGGAGTCGACGAGCCAGAGGTGAGTTGCGACTGTCGCGCAGCTTGTCTAGGTTCCAATCACTGACACTCGCCAAAAGTATGTCATCCTTGGCGAGAGCCTCCGGCGATTTTTGGGGGAGGGGTTGTGACTGGTGTTGGTTACCCCTCACTGCGGTTCGCGGAGCAATTGCAGGTGTTGGTGGCGGGGTTCTGTGGGTGGGCCGGTTGGCAGTGGTGTCAATGTTGTTGGGAGCGGTTCGAATTTGTGGGGATGGTCGCGGCTGGGTTGGAGCGTGATTGAAATTTGTCGTCGCGCTTCGAGCGTGGGTTGGGTTGCCTCTCTGCCGTGCAGGGGTCAGTGACTGGGCCCCTTCCGAGGCATTCGATCCTGAGTCTGCTACCTCTTCCTCCGCCTCATAAATACTCCCCGACAGTGCATCTGCTTCATTAGCTCTTCCCAACTCAGTTAAAGCCCTACGCGCCGCTGCCTGGAACGCGTTCTCCGGTCCGCCCTCTCGCGTACTCCTTCCCCGCCCGCGACCCCCGGCACGGCCTCCGCGCATCCGCGGATTGGCCTCGGCCAGTAGTGGACTCCCTCTACTCCCTGCGCCCGCGCTCTGGCGCGACCTTGCATTCTCGATCGCCTGCTGTCGACGTGTTCGCCGTAATGGCGACTGAAGCGGAGAAGTCAGCGGTGGACCAGGGACACACCGCTGAGAGTTCGATTGCTCCGCCTCCGGCCCCAGCTGCCGCGGTTGCTGTAGCTGCTCCTCCCCTGCTCCCCCCGGCTCCCCCTGTTGTTGTTGCGCCATTTGTGGTTCCCGTCCCGCTGTCACTGGCTCCCCCGCCAAGTCTTCCGCACAAAGTTCCGGTGTCCGGCGCGCCGGTTCCCGTTGCGTCGCCGTCGCTCGTGGCGCAGCCGCCCGCCCAAGCTGTCTCTGGAGGCCCTGTGCTGGGGACAGCGGTGGTCGCCAGCCCCGATTCTGCCCACTTGGTTGCCCCTTCGGCTGCGCCGGTGAATCCCGTCGCGCAGCGGCTCGCGGAGTCCCAGATACGCGCTCCCGTTGGGGGCAATGCGGCAGCGCATCGGGGGCGAGGTTCTCCTCGGCGTCGCCCCTCGTCGTCATACCGTTCGGCGCACCGCGGAGGTCGCGGTGGCTGGTGGGGAGGTCACGGTCGCGGGCGCGATGGGCCGAGCGAGATGCAGCAGCTCCGGGAGGATTTCCCGGGGATGCTTGCCACGGCGATGCGCAACGTCCTGAATGGCGCGCCGGATCTTGGTAGCTCCCCGGCTCTTGCCCCGTCTGCGCCCGCGCCTGCTCCTGTGAATGCGCAGGTCCCGGCCGCGCCCCTTGCTGCACCTGCACCGCACGCATCTGCGTACCCACGGGCTCCTGCTCGAGGCGATGATTGTGCTCCTCCCGCCCGCGGTTGTCCTGTGTCTGCGTCGCAGTATCCGCCCCTGCCCTGGATTCCCCCTCTTCCGAACACGGGATTTGTGGGAGCGGGAGGCGGAGGGGCGAGGGGGGCCTTCGTTCCCCCGCGTCGCGATGCGGATGCTCCGTCCGTGCAGCCTCCGCCCCCTCTTCCCATACTGCCTGCCGCGTTGAGGACTGGGGTGGCTCAAGTTCCCACGGCGACCCTAGCGCAGCTGTGGCGCTTGGTGGAGTGCCAGCAGGCCCTGACACTGATTCTGGTGAATGCGCACTTCGCCATTCTCCAGAGCCCAGGGAGCACTCTCGGTCGTGAGGCGCGAGGAGATTGCTTGGCGGCGGCTGCGCAACTTGCCTTCCTCCTCCTACCCTTGCTGGGAGCGCCCGCGATGGGAGGCGTTGCGGTTTCAGAACTGGACGAAACGGTCCGGGGTCTGACCGCACACCTCCAGGGTGGTGGCGGGATTGAAGCTGTAGGCGCGACCGCGTTAGTGGTCCAGCAACTGTGGAGGACCATGCGTGGAATCCTCGCGGCGATTGATGCCCATCTGATGTAGTTTCCGGCGCTCTCCGCGCGTAGACCCTCTGCATCTTGTGATCTAGTGGCTGGGCGCGTGGCCCATAGCTGTCTAGTGTAGTGTCTTTATTCTATACTTTGCAGGGAATCCTTGCCACCCCAAAGCACGCAGCCGAAGGCTGCGCAACGCGAGCGCTGGCGGCCGCAGGCCGCCGGCGCGAGCGCATACGAAAATCTGGGAACTGAATGAACTAATGAGGGAAAGAGGTCCCTACGGGACCCTTATATAGCCTAGAGGCCAGGGACAGAGGTAAGGGACAGAGGCTAACCTCTCTCTCTCTCTCTCTCTCTCTCTCTCTCTCTCTCTCTCTCTCTCTCTCTCTCTCTCTCTCTCTCTCTCATCCCTCTCCTTCCTTGTACCCTGCACGCCCCACTCCACGCCCCACTCCACGCCCCATCCCACGCCCCACTCCACACCCCACCCCTCGCCCCACCCCACACCCCACTCTATGCCCGCAGGCACGACGGTGGATGGGCGGGAGATCATGGTGAAATTCGCCAAGTATGGCCGCAACGAGGAGATCATGTGAGCTGCCATTGCCACGCTCTGGGTTGGGTGTGGGCTCGGGGTGCGGGTGGGGGTGGGGGTGGGGGTGGGAGTGGGAGTGGGAGTGGGGGTGGGAGTGGGAGTGGGAGTGGGAGTGGGAGTGGGGGTGGGGGTGGGGGTGGGGGTGGGAGTGGGAGTGGGGGTGGGGGTGGGGGTGGGAGTGGGAGTGGGAGTGGGAGTGGGAGTGGGAGTGGGAGTGGGAGTAGGAGTGGGAGTGGGAGTGGGCGTGGGGGTGGGGGTGGGAGTCGGAGTGGGGGTGGGGGTGGGGGTGGGAGTGGGAGTGGGAGTGGGAGTGGGAGTGGGGGTGGGAGTCGGAGTGGGGGTGGGGGTGGGAGTGGGAGTGGGAGTGGGGGTGGGGGTGGGGGTGGGGGTGGGCGTGGGCGTGGGGGTGGGGGTGGGGGTGGGGGTGGGTGTGGGGGTGGGGGTGGGGGTGGGGGTGGGGGGTGGGAGTGGGAGTGGGGGTGGGGGTGGGGGTGGGGGTGGGGGTGGGGGTGGGGGTGGGGGTGGGGGTGGGGGTGGGGGTGGTGGGGGTGGTGGGGGTGGGGGTGGGAGTGGGGGTGGGGGTGGGGGTGGGGGGTGGGGGTGGGAGTGGGAGTGGGAGTGGGAGTGGGAGTGGGAGTGGGGGTGGGGGTGGGAGTGGGAGTGGGGGTGGGGGTGGGAGTGGGAGTGGGGGTGGGAGTGGGAGTGGGGGTGGGGGTGGGAGTCGGAGTGGGGGTGGGGGTGGGGGGTGGGGGTGGGGGTGGGGGTGGGGGTGGGGGTGGGGGTGGGGGTGGGGGTGGTGGGGGGTGGGGGTGGGGGTGGGAGTGGGAGTGGGGGTGGGGGTGGGAGTGGGGGTGGGGGTGGGGGTGGGGGTGGGAGTGGGAGTGGGAGTGGGAGTGGGCGTGGGAGTGGGGGTGGGAGTGGGAGTGGGGGTGGGGGTGGGAGTGGGGGTGGGAGTGGGAGTGGGAGTGGGGGTGGGAGTCGGAGTGGGGGTGGGGGTGGGGGTGGGAGTGGGAGTGGGAGTGGGGGTGGGGGTGGGGGTGGGGGTGGGGGGTGGGCGTGGGGGTGGGGGTGGGGGTGGGGGTGGGGGTGGGGGTGGGGGTGGGAGTGGGGGTGGGGGTTAAGGGTGTAAACAAATACCACTGTATTCGTATTAGTATTCGATATTCGACAAATATCAAATACAAATCAAATACAAATGCCCCTTACTATTCGAAAGTATTCGACGTTCAAGTATTCGAGTATTCGGTTTAGATAACCGGTTATTCGAATACATATTCGATTCGTTCTTAAGTTACTGAACCACTCAAACCAGCCGCTATTATTCACGAAATCTTGAGTAAAAAATACTAAGGACTCTACAGAACGGCCGTCAGAGCCATGCTAACTGAGCAAGGGGCCAATGAGTTAGAGTAAAAGGGTGTGAATAATACTTCAGTATGCATTTAAGCCCCACCGTGAATCATGAGATCCTTGTTTGAGCTACAATATGCTATTCGAAACCGTATTCGACACACCATGTTTTCGAATCGTATTCGAATTCGTGGAGGGACAGGTATTCGAACAAATACAAATACAGCCAGGTATTCGTTAATTATTCGTTTTAGATAACCGTATTCGAATCCGTATTCGTTTTTACACCCTTAGTGGGGGTGGGAGTGGGAGTGGGAGTGGGAGTGGGGGTGGGAGTGGGGGTGGGGGTGGGGGTGGGGGTGGGGGTGGGGGTGGGGGTGGGAGTGGGAGTGGGGGTGGGGGTGGGAGTGGGAGTGGGGGTGGGGGTGGGGGTGGGGGTGGGGGTGGGGGTGGGGGTGGGGGTGGGGGTGGTGGGGGTGGGGGTGGGGGTGGGGGTGGGGGTGGGGGTGGGGTGGGCGTGGGCGTGGGGGTGGGGGTGGGGGTGGGGGGTGGGAGTGGGAGTGGGAGTGGGAGTGGGAGTGGGAGTGGGCCGTGTGCTGGGGCCACGGATGAGCTTGGGTCTGGCTGGAGATAGGGATGGGGCTGGGTGGATGGGCGCGAGATCATGGAGATATTTGCCTCGCCTAGCACGGCCGCAACGAGGAGATCATGTGAGCTGCCATGCCATTCCATGCCATGCCCGCCAGTCCTTTCCACAGGCTCATTCTGTGACTGGAGGTGGAGTGGAGGTGGGCGGGATAGGTTGACAAAATGGCTTTTGAGACGACTCAAAAGCTGCAATGGATAGGTTGACAAAAGGGGAGGGGCGGGGAGAGGGGAGAGGGGGGAGGGGGGGAGGGGGAGGGGGATTAGGAGGGGGAAAGGGAGGGGGAGGGGGAGGGGGAGGGGGAGGAGGAGGGGGAGGGGGAGGGGGAGGGGAAAGTGTCGCAACTTTTGATAGGTAAACACAGCAGTGCTTCCGCAACATCAGAACTCAAATGCTGTAGTGTTGTGTCCCATCCCATTCTCATCGTCAAACTCGATGCTCATGCCCTGCTGCCATGCATGTCCCGTGGCCCATGCCCTTGCATGTCCCCATTCCCACGCATGTCCCCATGCCCCATGGCAGAGATAAGGGCATGATTACTGAGGTTGGCCCGCCTCCCCCGCCCTCCATGCACCATGCGCCTCGGTGAGTGCTCATGTCTTATGCACCATGCCCCATGCGCCATGCACCATGCCCCATGCGCCATGCCCCATGCGCCATGCACCATGCCCCATGCGCCATGCCCGATGCACCATGCACTATGCACCATGCACCATGCCCCATTCCCAATGCACCATGCACCATGCCCCATGCGCCATGCACCATGCCTCATGCACCATGCCCCATGCACCATGCCCCATGCACCATGCACTATGCACCATGCACCATGCACCATGCCCCATCCCCAATGCACCATGCACCATGCCCCATGCACCATCCACCATGCACCATGCCCCATCCCCAATGCACCATGCCCCATGCACCATCCCCAATGCACCATGCACCATGCCCCATGCACCATCCACCATGCACCATGCCCCATCCCCAATGCACCATGCACCATGCCCCATGCACCATGCACTATGCACCATGCACCATGCCCCATCCCCAACGCACCATGCACCATGCCCCATGCACCATCCACCATGCACCATGCCCCATCCCCAATGCACCATGCCCCATGCACCATCCACCATGCACCATGCCCCATCCCCAATGCACCATGCACCATGCCCCATGCACCATGCACTATGCACCATGCACCATGCCCCATCCCCAATGCACCATGCACCATACCCCATGCACCATCCACCATGCACCATGTCCCATCCCCAATGCACCATGCACCATGCCCCATGCACCATGCACCATGCACCATGCCCCATCCCCAATGCACCATGCACCATGCCCCATCCCCAATGCACCATGCACCATGCCCCATCCCCCATCCCTCATGCACCTAGGAGAGTTCTTCCCGTGTGTCTCTGTTTGGTTTCCTCGATCCATCATCCTCTCTCACACTATGCCGTCTCTCTTTCCATGTTTTCTGCTTCACCGCCCTTGTTTCATTTCATTTCCTTCTCATTCACACTCACTCCCTCCAATCTACCCCTTGCCATAGCTTCCTGTCCTTCCTTTCCCCCTCTTCAACTCCTCTTCTCTCCCCCCCGCTTTCAACCCCCCCACCTCTCCCTCCTCCCTCCTCTCCTCTTCCCTCCTGCCTCTGCTCCCGCCCTCCCCCATTTTCTTCCTTACCTTCCCACCCCTCTCTTTCCCCAGCTACAATCGTGCCCCATTTCCCGGCCCCCCACCGTTTGTTGATAGGGGAGGTCTGGATTACAGGGGCATGGGAGGAGGGTGGGGGGGACGAGGGGGGGGATACGGTGGTGGTGGGGGGGGGGATTATAACAGGGGGATGATGGGGGGTTACCGTGGTGGGGGGGATTACAGAGGAGGTGGGGATTATAGGGGAGGTGACTATAGGGGAGGAGATTACAGGGGAGGGGATTTCCGGGGAGGTGGGGATTATAGGGGCGGTGGGGATTACAGAGGGGGGGGAGGATATAGGGGAGGTTCAGGAGTTGATTATCGGGGGCGTGATTATGAGAGGGAGAGGGGGAGGGAGAGGGAGAGGGAGGGGGGAAGGGAGAGGGAGAGGAGCAGGGAGAGGAGGCGGGACGATGAGCCTTACAGGAGGAGAGAGGAGGAGGGGCATGGGCGGAGTGGAGAGAGGGAGAGGAGGGAGGAGACCGAGGAGGAGAGGAGGGAGAGGAAGGAGAGAGAGAGGCGGGAAGAGGAGAGAGAGCGGGAAAAGAGACGGGAAGAGGGGGGTCGAGGCGGGGAGGATGGGAAGAGAGAAAGGGAGGATGATGATGATGAGGATTCTGGCAGGAGGGGGAGGAGGAGAAGGAGAGATGATGATTCTGGGAGTGAGGATGAGGAGGAGGAGAGGAAGGAGAGAGGGAAATCGGAGGATCCGGAGGATGGGGTGGGAGGAGGAGCAGGGGAAGGAGAGGAGAAGAAGGAACGGTCAAGTGAAGAAGAGGAGGAGAAGCAGTAGCAGCAGGTGATATGCAGGGAGTAAGATGTAAGGAGGTAAGGTACAAGGAATAATATACAAGGTTGTATGATGCAAGGGAGTAGAATGCGAGGGAGGGAGCAGAATCCACCTTAGTCGAATCGTAAGAATGCATGCACTCATGTTTCTTTCTCCCCCCATCTCCCTCTTCTATCACTCACTCTCGCGCTTCCCCCTCTCCGCCCTCCCTTCTCCTTGCTTCCCACCTTCTGCTTCTGCTTTGCATGTAAAGGGAGCGGAATCCAGGGGGGCGAAGGACTCAAACGTGAACGGCAGGCGACGGGAGTTTTGAGACGTCTCAAAAGAGTTATGAGGCGTCCTTTGATACGTCTCAGTCAAAGGTTGCATGTAAAGGGAGCGGAGCGGAATCCAGAAGGGTGAAGGGCTCAAACGTGAACGGCAGGCGACGGGACGGGAGAGGATGCAAGTCGCTTGCAAGAATTACAGGCGCCAAGGGGCGGGGAGGAGGAGCAGTGGAGGGACGGATGGGCCCGACCTTTGAGTAGACTCTAAAGTCATCCGGTTGTTATGCAGTGCTGCTAAGCTTTTAATGAGAGACGAGGAGCAGGGAAGCTGGGTTCAACTTCTTCAGAGCAGAATGGACATAACACGCAGTGGATGTTGCATTTGCAGGTGGTAGAATCAGGATAGTGGGAGCCCCCTTTGGGTTAGGAGAGTGAACTGATGCTGGGTAACTGATGCTGGGTAACTGATGCTGGGTAACTGATGCTGGGTAACTGATGCTGGGTAGTGAAGCTGAAGCGGGGGAATGGAGGAGAGGAGAGGAGGAAAGTTGCGGGGTGTTTTCGAGTGGGCCCAGCCAGAGGAGCCGTCCTGAAAGGGGACGAGGAAGGCGGAGGGAGAGACTGTAGTAAGGGGTATATTACTGTATTAGGCGTACAGGAAGCATGGGAGGGATGGTACAGATGTGACTGTTGGGACGGATGGGTGAAGGATCGGTCGGTGGGACCAGCGATAGGCTGGAAGTGTTGGGATGAGTAGTGTTTTGACGACAGTAGGTTATATGGTGGTGTCTGATTGGCGTTACCGGTAGGTTGGTGCTGGTTGGATCTTGGTTTGGTTGGCTTGGGTTTTTGAGTTGAGGATGCTGAGGAAGGGTACCGGTAAATTCTTCAGACTCAGGGTACATTCCTGGAGCGCGTCACAAAAGCCTCGCGTCTCAAAAGACTAGATATAGTGCGGTGAATAGGACATTGATACTAAACTTTCGTGCTGCGGTAGGTTGCAAATGGTACTGTAGGAAATACGACTGTCCACACCGCCCAATCTTATCTGTGCTATAGCTCAATCAGATGATTGCCGTATATAGTGGAATCTTGGACTCACTCACTCTCATAATGTCAGGCAGTGTCATGATGACTGATTATTTGTTGCTGGGCAGGAGCGAATCAACAAGCCAACAGGGTGGCTGAATACCCCTCACCACATGAGACAACTGCATGACCCACTCCTCCTCTCCCTCCCCCTCACTTCCCTCCATCCTCTTCCCCCCTCCACCATCCCCCCCACTCTCCTCCCCCTCACCCACACTCCTCTCCATCCGTTCCCCCTCCTCCTCTCTGCCCATCCGCCTCCCATGCACACCCGGCTTCCCTTCTTTTGTCTGGGTTCCCAGAGGAGCCACTCTTACTGCCACCCTGCACTGCACACAGGAGCCTGCGCTGTTGAGCGGGCGCAAGGAGAGAATGCGTGCTCCCCCGTGGTTCAACAGCCGACGGTACCTGGGAAAAAAACAGCATATAGGGTGTTTGCAGCAGGGAGGTTGAAGGAGGGAGTTGGGTGTGTGCATGTATGAGGAGCGGAGAGAATGTGGGTCTTTTGCAGTTCAACGGCCGATGGTACATGGGAGGAACCTGCGGGAAGGAGAGCAGGAGGGCAAAGCGGGAGTGCGGGACGGAGGGAGAGGAGGAGGGTGGGAGGGAGGGAGAGGAGGAGGGTGGGAGGGAGGGAGAGGAGGAGGGTGGGAGGGAGGGAGAGGAGGAGGGTGGGAGGGAGGGAGAGGAGGAGGGTGGGAGGGAGGGAGAGGAGGAAAGTATAGATTCGAACCAGTTTGTGGTTGAGGCAGGAAGACTTAGTGACTTTTGAGTCGACTCAAAAGTCACCTCGTTACAATGGCACACGACATAGATTCGAACCAGTTTGTGCTTGAGGCAGGAAGAGCGGGCGGAAAGGGGACGGAATTTGAAGCAGCACACAAGGGGTGAGTGGGGAGGAGCAGCAGCAGCAGCAGCAGAGGGAAAGGAGGAGCAGAAACAGCAGCGGCAGCAGCAGCAGCAGCAGCAGCGGCAGCAGCAGCAGCAGCAGCTGCGGCAGCAGCAGCAGCGGCAGCGGCAGCAGCAGCAGCAGCAGCAGCAGCAGCGGCAGCAGCAGCAGCAGCAGCTGCAGCAGCAGCAGCAGCAGCATCTGACCGTGTTTTAAACTTGAGTGCGAAGTGGCCAAAGTGGTACAGGTCTGCTGCAAACCCGAAGTAGCACGGCAGGGGGGAGAGGAGCGAAGCAGCGGAGGGGGCGACAGCAGGGTCTGCGAGAGTCCCTTCAGCATTGGCAAAGTAATAGAGCACCTGATGGCACACGGATGGGCAAGGAGTGCACCATACGGTGACTTGAATTTTGAGTCGACTCATCGACTCAGGAAGCTGCGAGAGTCCCTTCAGCATTGGCAAAGTAGTAGAGCACCTGATGTCACACGCAGGGGGCAAGGAGTGCACCACCAGGTGACTGTTGAGTCGGCCCATCAACTCAATCTGGGAGGGTCCCCTCAGCGTTGGCAAAGTAATAGAGGACGAGGACGGGGACGGGGACAAGGACCTGATGGCATGATGGCACACGCAAAGGGAAAGGGCACAAGCAAGGGAAATGGAGAAACCAAGAGGATCTGATGTGCTCAATCTGAAAGAGATGGAGATATTCGCAGATTGGTACCAGGAGGGATTGTGCTGTGCTCCGCTATTCTCCTTTTCCCCGCACTGGTGAGCCTAAATAGAAGAAAAGAAAGAAAAAAAAGCAAACACCACCATTCCCTCTTCCAATCGGCCCGTTCCCATCCCACGCCCCACCTCATGCCCCACCTCATGCCCCACCCCCATGCCCCACCTCATGCCCCACCCCTATGCCCCACCGCATGGTGGGTGCGCGGGGTGTCGTTATGGGCGAGTGCTGCCATCTGCAGCAGCACTGCTTGGCGCACTGACACACACACACACACACACACCATTCCCTTCTCCTAGCGGCCCATTCATTCCCCCCCATGCCCCACCCCCATGCCCCACCCCCATGCCCCACTTCATGCGCCCACCTCAAGGCCATGGTCGGTGCGAGGGGTGTCGTTGTGAGCGAGCGCTGCCATTTGCAGCAGCACCGCTTGTTGCACCAACAGCTGGTGATGCAAGATGCAGGTAGAGTGGGGGATGGGAAGAGAGGGAGGGAGCCGGGGAAGGGGGGAGGGTGGGAAGGGGAGGGGGGAGAAGGTTGGAACAGCAGCGTTGTGAGCGTGTATGAAGAAGTGTTTTGAGACGTCTCAAAACACTTCTTCATACACGCGCGCTGCCATCTGCAGCGGCACCACTTGGCACACTGACAACTGATGTTATAATACAAGAGGTGTGGAGGGGGATAGAGGACAGGGGAAAAAGAGGGGGGCAGAGAAGAGAGGAGGGGAGAGGGGCCAGAAAAGACTGGCACCGTTGTGAGCGAGTGCTGCCATCTGCAGCGGCACCGCTTGGTGCAATGGCAACTGGGGATACACGACAAGGGGTGGGGGATGGAGGGGGAGGGTGTAGGGGAGGGAGGCGGAGTGACACAAGGATAGAAGGGGATCGAGGGAAAGAAGGCGAAGGCTGGGGGAGGGAGAGAAGGCGATAGGAGTGCGCGAGCGAGCGCGAACTGGCAGGTGCATTGCAGCAGCAGCAGCAGCAGCAGCAGCAGCAGGGCTTGGCGCACTGACTGACCAGGGACCGCTGGTGTATCGAGACTCAATACTACAAGCGTTACTCTTAGCAGGCTTGCTGCGTTTCGAACCCAACGAATTTCAGCAGCAGCAGCAGCAGCAGGGCCTGGCGCACTGACAGACAGACAGCTGGTGTATCGAGACTCGAGACCAGGGAAGGGTAGGAGAGGAGAGGAGGAAGGGGCGGGGTGGAGAGGACGAATGAATGAATTACGAAAGTTGATCGGGGACCGAGCGGGCGGGCGAGCGAGCGAGAGGGAGAGAGATAGGTGATTCTGGGGTTGACTCCATGTACATGTATTGCTTGAGACGCCTCAAGACTAATCTACTACCATGCCTCAAAGATCGACCCAAGGGCTGACTGCTGGAGCTCGGTCCAGGTCTGAGGTATCATCTCACCTGGGGAGATGGTTTCACCAGGGGCCCTGTGCTGCTGCTGTCGTTACGCTCCACGCTGCAGGCAGGCCGAAAGAGGGTGGGGTCGGGTTAAATGGGGTGGAGAGGGGTGGAGTGGGGGTCGAGAGCGGTTGAGGGTGGTTGAGTGCGCTTGAGTGAGGTTCGGGTTTACATTAGCCCTGCGCTTTTTGTTGTGGAGCCAAGTCCTTCTTGCTGCACTTGCCACACCCCTCCCCCACACTACCCTGCTCGCTGGAGATGTCTCAAGATCTCCCCACACTACCCTGTGCCTTCTTCCTCGCACCTGCCGCCTCGCGAATGTACCCCCTCGCTCTCCTCCTCCACGTATCCTTCCACGTGTTCTGCCACGTGGCGTGGTGCCAACTGTTCGCCTGTGGTTCCAGACATCCCTCTCGAGCCGTTCTCCCGCCAGCCATGCCAGTCAGTGACTGACTGGCATGGCTGGCGGGAGAACGGCTCGCGGAAGCTGCGCGCAAAGGGGGACGGAACCAGGGGGTTGAGGTGGCGGCGGAGGGTTCTACTAGTAGCACAGGTGGCATTAGTGGCACTTGTTGTAATGCGGAGCGAGCAGCACCGGTATTCGCTGAACGGATGAACCGCTACGACGCTCAATAGCTCCATTAGGGAGTGAGTCCTCGTTCGATGTTATCGCCCGCCTGTTACATGCCACTGAATGCCACTCTCTTCTCTTGCGTTGAAAAAAGGATGTGTCAGGGAGTGGTGAGTGTGATGGTACAGGTGGAAATGCGAAAATGGGCGGGTCCTGTGGTATTCATTTGGAGGAGGTGCGATACAACGCATCGCCTTAGTTTGAAGGATTTGTATTGTCAGCACAAATCATTGCATCAACACCAGGTATACAAAAGAGCTTCTTCCTCATTACAAGCGAGGGGCCACATCCAGGTGACTACCGGTTTTACTCACACAACATAGGTACCAGTATGTGTACCTTCACCAACAATTCCAACTCATTGAGAACATTTCAATTTTCTTCCCCATTTGCCCACCTAAACCTGCATTTCAACCTACTTATTCAATCTAGCCATTAGAATCCTTCCTCCTCCCCCCACCCCCCCTTCCCCCCCCCCCTCACCCCCCCCCCCCCCCCCCCCCCCCCCCCCCCCCCCCCCCCCCCCCCCCCCCCCCCCCCCCCCCCCCCCCCCCCCCCCCCCCCCCCCCCTCGAAACACCCCTCGATACAAAACACCCCATTTCCAGGGCTTCCCACTACAAATCCAAAGCTGTCTGCGAGTTACCAGCACTAGCACCCCCCATCCGCACCTCCGCCTCCCGACCTTGAGTACGGTACAGTACCCTCCTCCTCCACCTCCCCTACCTCCCCAACCTCTGTGAGCCTCGTAAGACAATCAATAAGGTCGGTATCGGCGTGCTTGCGAGTTACCGGCACTAGCCCCCCCAACACTCCCGTAACCCGCACCTCCGCCTCCCGACCTTGAGTACCCTCCCCCTCCCCCACCTCCCCCACCTCGGTACGCCCCTCCCCCGGCGGCATATCGGCCACCGTACCCCCCTCCCCCACCCTCCCCCTCTCTTTGCCTGCACAGGGGAGAGGAGCACACAGCGGGACGAAGCGCAAATAACAAAATCAGCAGAAATACGCACGTGGATGCAGATACACACATACACACACGCACAAACACCCAAGCATGCAACCACCCACCCACCCACAGCGGGGAGCGCTGAGCAAAACCCTCAAACCAACCCAGGCAACAGACAGCACAGCACTCACAGGATGTATCCCAGCCGTCCATCGGGCAGCATCATCGGCACCATCACCATGCCTGCCGGCGCCGGCCCCCTCCCGTATATAAACGGCACCTGCGACCCAAACCCCCCTCCCCCGCCCCCTCCCCCACCACCTCCCCCGCCCCCGCCCCTCTCCCCCAAGCTCCTCGAGTAAGCCCCATACGCCCCCTCCCCGCCCCTCTCCCTCCCCCCATACCCCCCGCCGCCTCCCCCATACGCCCTCCCTTCGCCCCCTCCTCCTCCTCCCATGTCCCCATAGCCATATCCGGAGCGGTATTGGGGATGCAGTCCAGAAGCGCCCCCTGTGTTGCTGCCGCCTCCCGGACCGCTGCCCCCGCTGCCCCCTCCCCCTCCTGGCGCGGAGCGGGGCGGGTAGGGGGGTTCCCCAGGGCCGGGCCGGCGCTCTGGAGGGGGCTTGGCTAGGGAGACCTCGACCTCCTTGCCTGAGGTGGGAGAGTGCGGGGGGAGAGTGCGGTGGGAGAGTGCGGTGGGAGAGTGCGGTGGGAGAGTGCGGTGGGAGAGTGCGGTGGGAGAGTGCGGTGGGAGAGTGCGGTGGGAGAGTGCGGTGGGAGAGTGTGGTGGGAAGAGGGGGGAGGGATGAGGAGAGAGGGTGATGGAATGGTTTGGGAATGTTGGTTGTTGTAGAACTCTTTAAAGACACAGTATCCATTCAGATTCTCTTATTGTTTGACGTACTCACCATCCACCAGCACACCACACCACTCACCATCCACCAGCACCACTCACCATCCACGAGCACCTTCTCCTGCGTCTCAATCGCCTTGAGCGCGTCCGCCCGCTCTCCAAAGTGCACAAACCCAAAGTCCCGCTTGGGCTGCCCCGGGCGCGGGGGCGGCAGGATGACCCGCGTGACCTCGCCAAAGCGCTGAAACGCCTCCTTCAGATCGTCCTCTGTTACCTTCTCCGATATGCCCTTCACGTATATCACCTTCACCTGCAGAGGGAGGGAGGGGGGTTTGTGATGTGAGCAGCAGGGACGGACAAGGGTATGAGCGGCAAGATCGCCCATGTGACCTTCAGGTCCCCTCAGGTCACAGGTTCAGGACCTTCAGGTCCTCAGGCAGGATCGTCCTCAGTGACCTTCTCGGAAATGCCCTTCACGTATATCACCTTCACCTGTAGCAGGGGCAGAGGGAAGAGGGAAGGGGCGAGGTTGAGGAGCAGGGAATGGGAGGGGAAAGGGAGTGCGAGCAGCAGGGAAGGGCGAGGGTGTGAGTGGCGGCAGGATGACGCGTGTGACCTCGCCAAAGCGCTGAAACGCCTCCTTCAGGTCGTCCTCTGTTACCTTCTCCGATATGCCCTTCACGTATATCACCTTCACCTGGCAGGGCAGAGGCAAGGGGCGAGGGTGTGAGGAGCAGGGAGGGGCGAGGGTGTGAGGAGCAGGGAGGGGCGAGGGTGTGAGGAGCAGGGAGGGGCGAGGGTGTGAGGAGCAGGGAGGGGCGAGGGTGTGAGGAGCAGGGAGGGGCGAGGGTGTGAGGAGCAGGGAGGGGCGAGGGTGTGAGGAGAGGGAAAGGCACCCATCCAGATCCCAGATTGAAACGCCTCCATCACTCCGACCACCCCATCTGCCCCATCAACCCCATCTGCCCCATCAACCCCATCTGCCCCATCAACCCCATCTGCCCCATCAACCCCATCTGCCCCATCAACCCCATCTGCCCCATCAACCCCATCTGCCCCATCAACCCCATCTGCCCCATCAACCCCATCTGCCCCATCAACCCCATCTGCCCCATCAACCCCATCTGCCCCAGCAACCCCATCTGCCCCATCAACCCATCTGCCCCATCAACACCCCCATCACCTGTACGCACCTGCGCCATGGCGGAGGGGTCGGGCTCGGAGCGGGGCTTGGCCCAGCTGATGGTGAGCACGTTGCCTGCCAGGCGGAAGGAGGGCGCTGTCATGTGCCGCCGTGCCACCTCCTTTCCCTTGTGTGTAGTGGCACCCTGTCCGATACCCCCTTCACCACAACCGCACACACACATGCCCCCGCCCACCCCATCACATAACCCCCGCCTGCCCTGGCACCCTTACCTGCGCCATTGCTGAGGGGTCGGGCTCGGAGTGGGGCTTGGCCCAGCTGATGGTGGGCACGTTGCCGGCCAGGCGGAAGGAGGGCGCTGTCATGTGCCGCCGCGCCACCTCCGCTGAGTGTCACCCTGTCACATGTCCCCTTCAAGTCAACCGCACCCGCCCCGGCTCCCTTACCTGAGCCATAGCAGAGGGGTCTGGTTCGGAGCGGGGCTCAGCCCAGCTGATGGTGGGCACGTTGCCGGCGAGGCGGAAGGACGGCGCTGTCATGTGCCGCCGCGCCACCTCTGCACACGCATGGTTGTGATACTCCACAAACGCGTACCCGCGATTGCGCCCTGGCAGCTTGGGGTCCTGGCATGGGAGGGTAGAAGGGAGAGAGGGAAGGGTGGGGAGGGAACATCAGGTGGGTCTTGAGAGGTGCTAGTATGCCACCTCCGCACACGCATGGTTCTGATACTCCACAAACGCGTACCCGCGGTTACGCCCTGGCAGCTTGGGGTCCTGAAGGGTGGGGAACGGGGGGTGGGGCAGGGAGGACAAACGGGAGGCAGGCAGGTTTGAATGGTGGGTTTTGAAAGATGTTGACACGGTGGCTCAGAGTGCCACCTCCGCACACGCGTGGTTGTGATACTCCACGAACGCGTACCCATGGTACCCTCCCTTACCCACCCACCCACCCACCCACTTACCCGCCCACAAACCCACCCATGAACCCACCCACCATGAGCAGCTCGAGGTTGGTGATGCCCTTGCCCTCCGCCTCCAGCGTGGTGTGCAGTTCGTCCCGCGACCAGCTCTTGGGAATGTTGCCCACGAACAGACGGTACTTGGACTGCGAGGGCGTCACTCGCAGCTTCTTGCCCTGATGGGGAGGGGAAAAAGGGGAGGGGGTGATGGGGAAGAGGCGAGCGATGGGGGAGAAAGAGGAGGGGGCGGGGATTAGGGGGAGAGGGGAAGTGGGGGATTGAGCTAAGAGTGGTCATGTGACCATCTCTTGGGGATGTTGCCCACGGACAGCCAATGGGAAGAGGGGGGAAGGGGAGAGGGAGAGATGCAAGATGGATTTGCCAGCTAGGCAAGATGTGAGAAGAAGAGGGTAGGAGGAATGGGATGGGTGAATTAGGGCATCTGTGTTGACCAGAGCTGGGGAATGTGATTACGGGTGAGCAAGGGGCGAACACGAACGTGTTTGTGTTCGCCCCTACACGAACACAGCCGTTCGCCGAACCGAACACTGTTCGGTTCGGCGAACACTTTTAGCCAAAAAGGGTGTTCGGTGTTCGCCTGTGAAGGCGTGTTCGGGCGAACCTCGAACACGTTCGTGTTCGACGCGGGGCAAATTGCAGCAGCGCCCCGAACACGAACATGTTCGGGCGAACATCGAAAATGTTCGCCCCGAACAGTTAAGGCCAAAAAAAAAGCCTGTTCGGTTTGCCTCGAGCAGGCGTTCGTGATTTTGCTCACCCCTAAATGTGATAGCAGCAAGGAGCGTAGGAGGAGGGTGGGGATGATGGGGAGCGAGGGTTGAGAATGAGGAGAATTGGGAGGACGGATGGATGATGCAAGATGCATGATACAATACAAGGGGGCCCTCACACACGCACGCACACCACATCGCACCGCACCACACGTCACCGCACCACACCACACCGCTGCAGTGCACGCGCGTCGTGCACACCTTGATCTCGCTGCCGTTGAGTGTGTCAATGGCCTTGTCAGCGTGCTGCCGATTGACTCCCCCTCCTTCTCTCCCCCCACACCACACACAACCTTACCCATCCGCACCACACCGCACCGCGCCACATCCACGCACCTTGATCTTGCTGCCGTTGAGCGTGTCAATGGCCTTGTCCGCGTGCTGGCGGTTGAAGAACGTCACAAACCCCTCTCTCCACTCCACCACACAACCCAACCCATCCGCACCACACCGCGCCACATGAACGCACCTTGATTTCGGAGCCGTTGAGAGTGTCAATGGCCTTGTCCGCATGCTGGCGGTTGAAGAACGTCACAAAGCCGTACCCCTTGAGGTTGCCCGTCTCCCTGTCCTTCAGCACGCGCACCTGGTGCGCATGTGCGCCAACAACCACGCACACACACGGGCGGACATGGGCGTACGCATGGGCATACATGCATGGGCACGCATACATGCATGGGCACGCATACATGCATGGGCACACATACATGCATGGGCACACATACATTCATGGGCATACATACATTCATGGGCATACATGCATGCATGGGCACACATACATTCATGGGCATACATGCATGCATGGGCACACATACATTCATGGGCATACATGCATGCATGGGCATACATACATTCATGGGCATACATGCATGCATGGGCATACATACATTCATGGGCATACATGCATGCATGGGCATACATGCATGCATGGGCATACACGCATGCATGGGCATACACGCATGGGCGCACACGCACATGCGAGCAAGGGCATACAGGAAGCAGAGAGGGACATGCACATGGTTTAACGGAGAGTCAAAGAGGGAGGAAGGGAGGGAGGGAGGGAGGGAGGGAGGGAGGGAGGGAGTGACGGACGGAAGCAGGGAGGCAGGTAGGTAGGCAGGCATTAATTGAGTGATAACACATGCAGAAGCCATAAGCCAAAGCAGGCACACGCCAGGACAACCTCCGTCCCACGCCATCCTCCACCCCCAATCCCCCCCCTTCCCCCCTTTCGCCACCCGTTCACCCCCTTTTTCCCCCACGCCCCCTCTCCTTCCACACCACTCGCCTCATAGATCTCGCCTGTCTGTGAGAAGAGCTCCCGGATATCCTCCTCTGAAATGCTCATTTCAGTCAACTTAAAAGACGGCTCTGGCCCTCCTTCCTTCCCACCCCGGCCCCTTCCCGGCCCTTCCCCACGCACGCCACTCACCTCATAAATTTGTCCTATCTGTGAGAAGAGCTCCCGAATATCCTCCTCTGAGATATCCCTCGTGATCCCCCCCACGAATACCTCCGACCCATGCGGAGGCCTCTGAGACGGCTCATCCATTCCCCCGCCTCCCCCTCCCCCGCCCCCGCCGCCTCCGCCTCCCCCGCCGCCTCCGCCCTTCTCCCCGCCCTCCCCCATCTTCTCATCCGCCTCCGCTGCTTCCGCGGCTGCTGCCGCCACGGCGGCTTCCGCCTCCGCCTCCGCTTCCGCCTCCGCCGCTGCCTGCTCCGCCTCTTCCGCCAGTGTATCCTCTTCCGCCTTCATCTCTAGCTCCATCCCCGGGTCTTTCCCCTCCTCCTCCGCGCCCTGATCCCCTTCCGCGGACTCTTTCCCACCTTCCTTCCCCCTCCGCCTGTCCTTCCCTTCACCGTCCGCGCCACCCCCTTGCGGGCTGCGCGCCGATCCCTCCGCCCCGCGCTCCCGCGTTTCCTCCCCCTCCCCCCGCGAGTCTTCCGCCTTGTCCGCGTCCGCTTGCGCCCTCACCTCCCCCGCATGCCCCGCCTCTTCCTCCATAGCGTCAACCGGAGCACTTGCATCACCCGCGGCAGCTCCACCACCAACACCACCAGCATCAGCGGCGGCAACGCCTGCTTTCAACTCCCCCTCCTTCCCCATCCCCGCTCCTCCGCCGTCGCCCACTCTCCCCTCCGCCTTCCGCGCACCTCCCTTCCCCTCCTCCCCCACATCCATACCCGCACCCTCCTCGCTCTTCCCATTCCCTTCCCCACCGCCGTGCGTCCCGTCCGTCCCGTTTAGGGCATTCCCCTCTCCCTCTTTCTCCTTCTCATCCGGATTAACGGACTCTATCGCCTCGTCTCCCCCTTCCTCCCTCCCCCCTCCGTCGCTATCGTCTTTGCTCGATCCCGAACCCCGATCCGAGTCGCTGTCGCTATCGCTGTCGCTGTCGCTCGAGCTGTCGCTCGCCTTCTTCTCGTCGTCGTCGTCATCGTCGTCGTCGTCCTTGTCGCTGTCGCTTCGCACGTCCTTCATCTCCGCTTCCTCGTCGCCGCCGCCGCCGCCGCTGTCGTGCTCGCGCTCGCGATCGGGATCGCGATCGTCGTCGTCGTCCTTGTCGTCGGACCTATCAGAGCTCGAGCTGGAACTGTCGCCACCGTCGCTCTTCTCTTCGTCGTCGTCGTCGTCTTCTTCCTCCTCCTCGTGCTCTTTGACCGGTGGATCCTCCTCTGCCATGCTTATATCGAGTACAGCGGCTGAACAAAGGTCTCCGCTACTATCACTGCATGGAAGCGATGTACAGTGCGAGAAGTGAAGAAGCTTCCCAAAGGAATGAGACTAACAGAAAAATTGGTCAATTCGGTGACGCTTGGAAACTCAAAATGGTTGTCTGAACGCGCAAATTGATTAGGACGCATACATAATCTTCAAACAACCTTAGAATGAGATCAAGACGAATTTCTACGACGATAACAGAATACGCCGAGATTTGAGCGTGGCGGCAACTAGACAACCGACACTCACCACGGTCAAGTGCTGGGACAACAGTCACAAAAAAAAAAATACGTCTCTAAGATCGGATCGGTTGTGGAGGGGAGGCACCTAGAAATTCCAGCTATAGAGAGATGAAGGCGGAAGATTTTCGATGGTAAGGCGAATGGAGGGCGCAGTTGGTATAGCTACACTCCGTTCCCGCTGACTTGGGCTGCTTATTGGGAGATACATCGTGTAGAACAACATTCACTAAAATGTGAAATGTGACAAGCCCAATGCAAATAGAGGAATTGGATTGCACTATCTAGACAAATATTTTTTAAATGTGAGAGTAATGAAGTTGCTGTCAAGGAAGCTTCCCTCGCATTTCCAAAATGATCTCTGATATTTTCGCAACGAGTTACGGTACATGTCGTATGACCTTTCTTGTGGGACCATTACATGGCTCTGACTCCGAGTGGACTGTCAAACTATACATATTGTTTTGAAGCGGTAGTGAGGTTATGTCAAACTATATACCCGTATTTCCCACGTAGAGCAACATTTGGTTAGATGCAAAGCTGTTCACTGAGAGGAACAGATGCATTCAACCATCCAATCTAGAACAGCCTAATCACGCAGGCTCACTTCCACCCCCATAACCAGCAAATGGTAGCCAGAGTTGGCCAACCAGAAGAAGCCAAAGTTAGCCAACTATAAGTAGCCAAGAGCCAACCAGAGAAGCCAAGGTGAGCCAACCAGAAGCAGCCAAGGGGAGCCGACCAGAAGCAGCCAAGGGGAGCCGACCAGAAGCAGCCAAGGTGAGCCACCCACCCACTACTACTTCACTTTCTTCACCTTCCCGCAGATTGATGGATGCGCGCCATTAGCTTTTCCAAAAACCGTGTAGTATTAGCCATTGACGAATGCCTGCTGCATATTGCTTCGGATATTAACCAGAGTCTCCGGCCCATATGAGTAGGTGTACTCGAAGCTGTAGCGCTTGCGCTTACTCTTGGTGCTGGTGATGTTTTTCCAATTCGATGTAGGTCCGGGAGCATTAGTGTTGCACGAAGTGCCCATGGCTGTGCCAAGCGTCGATCCACCATTTTTTAGATTCATCGCCTTGATTAACGTCTCTCCATAGTATTTATTGTCCGAATGCCTGCCAAGAAGACAGAGGGAGATGCTCGTGAGAAGGACAGGGAGGTGGGGATGCGAAAAAGAGAGCAAAAACGAGTTCATACTATCTTCCTAATAGGATAGGAAGGAGCAGGTTAAAAAGCACGGACTCACTTCAAGGCCTTCATTACAAATTTCCGCCATGCCTTGCTGTCACCGACCATTTTTCCATTGATCTTGGTAGGACGCAGCTTGCCTTTGTACTTTACTGCCAATGTGAATGGCATCATGCCGTACATGATGTAAATGGTGACATGGTGTAGGGACGAGCAAGGACAACGGGTGAGGAGGGGGTACTTGTGACAGCAAGCTTGTGACAACGAGCAAGGACAGCTTGTGACTAGTACGGTGCTACGACTACTAGCACAGCACGCTTGGCATGAGACGGCCCTGACGGCTCGAGACATGATGAGGGACCTGGGTGGCTGAGGGACCTGGGAGGCTGAGGGACCTGGGAGGCTGAGGGACCTGGGAGGCTGAGGAACCTGGGAGGCTGAGGGACCTGGGAGGCTGAGGGACCCCGACCCCCATGACGTCTTCTAGTTAATCCTTGTCCAGGGGTCGCCGATTGGAGTGAAATGCAGAAGCATGGAACGCAGCGTTGCAACACCGTGATGACATGAGGTGGTAGTACACCAATCGTGATGACTCCTCAAATACTTTTAGCCCATATACTATGTTTGAACAATTCAGTAGATAAGCTGAATTGTTATTATATGTTTGAACGTGGTAAGAGGCCTGAACATTTTTGCCAGCAGGTCGAAAAACAGGACACTCCTAGGTACCCTGGATACAAAATCTGGACCAGCAAGGCACAGGGCTGCAGGCACTTACTCACAATCTCCGGCTTTTTCGCCAAGGGCTTGCTGCCTCCAGCAGCGGCAGACGCCGCGGCTGAAACGCTGCCGGCGTCGCGAAGAAATGGCGGGAAGAGTGATGCCGTCGCTGGGACACTGAAGAACGATGCACCTGCGGGGCAAGGCAGCAGAGCACAGAGGATGGGGGCATGAAGCGGGCCGTTGACATGCATCGAATGCACGGCAGCCGAGTGGAGCGGCATTGGTCACCGCTCAGTCGCCAGCAAAAGTGGTACTAGTATTAAGACTTTTGAAATTTTCAGGTAGGTGGTAGAATACTACAACTAGAACTTGGCGACGCTCAGCGTACTGGGTCCGTACTCCTACTATTGTATACTGGTTCTAGAACTCCAAGTAACAGAGAAACTTACAAAGCAGGAAGAAGAGAAGACGCGACGCTGGCTCCATGGTGGTACTAAGTAAAAAGATCGAAAGGACTCGACAAAAGAAAAGAGGTTATGAGATCCTGAGATTCTCGTAGGCATTTCTAGCTAAGATCTCAGCCAATTCTAACTCTCGAAAGTTCGGGATGAAAAGGAAGGCGTTAGAGCTACACCCACTCCTCATTTTCACCGCGCGTAAATGGTTGCCGTTGCGGCAGCAGGATGTTGGATCGTCCGTTGTGCTATTCTAGCTGGATGTCCCTAAGAACGTAGATGAAAACGACACGTGGATTTTGTCTGATGTGTCCCATGGGACCGTTTCGCTAGCTACTTCGACACGACACCCTAGAGCTTGTCCTGATTGACGTCGCCATTTTAGCAAGAGCTTGTCCAGCTGGTGCATTGGGAAGTTGTCCGCGTAATTTCGCGCTCGCCCGACTCGCGCTCGCGCTCGCCCGACTCGGAGTCGCACTGTTGCGAGCTGGTGCGCTGCGTACTACCCAGAGTAGCGCAGAGTTTTGCGCAAGCCTACAACACGTAGTTTCAGTGAGTTTGCGTCTGCGTGGCGTGGACGTGGTGTGTGTGGGCCGCGCAGCTCACCTGTAATGAATACGAATTCATTACTGTAGAGGCTGCTCCTAGCGAGGACGACCCCGAGCACTTCGCGTCAGTTTCGAGGTTCGGCTTACACTTCGGCCCGAACCACCCCCGAGTCGCCCCGCACCAATCGCGACACTTCCAAACCCATCCACGTCCCGAGGTCCTCGCCTACCACGGTTTCGACCCTATAAATGCATGCCTCTTTATCATTCTTGAGATTCTGGATTCGACATCCTTTTTGTAAAGTCTTCCGCGCACTCTTAGTACATCTCATAACACCTGGTATCAGAGCCTAATTTCCTAGGTTCCCCGTTGTTTAGAGTGTATTACCCCTCGGGGGGGGGACAGGGAAGGATGCCGTGGTGACAGGAGCAACGCAGTAGCCGGCCAGGAGAACGGATAGTTGCTCCTAGCGGCCATGTTTTTACGGGCGCTCCTGCTGCACCGACGGATCCTTGCCCTCAACGGTCGAGATGGACCATGGCCTCCCTCCCCCCGGGTGGCGGACAGCTTTTGCTGTCGTCGCAGTTAATGCGTGAGTTAACAGTATTCGTTTCGGCATTTTCGGAGTTAATTTGTGTGGCAGCTGACGTCGACAGGATCTCCGTCAGTGCACGTCCGAAGATGTCGAAAGCAAGATCGTCGTGCGAGTTGCGTCGGCATGTGGTCGACAACTGCGCGCGACAATTTCAGAACGGATTGCATGCAGCACGTGGCGTCGAGCATCTTCGTCACATCGCGCATCAATCCGTTGGAGGTCTTCGGCAAGTGACGATCGTGGTCACTATGCACGAAGATTTCGGGTAGCAGCACGTGGAAAACTGAGAAGAATAGAACGAGAATGGAATGACTATGAATGAAGTGAGTACAAATAGGAAACCCTAATGGGATTGTACCCCCTATGGGATACCCCACTATAGCCTACACAAATAAGTAAGCTATAATGTTCTGACACACCCCCATAGGCAAAGTGGGGGAGAACAAGGGGTCACAAGACCAGTCAAGCAAAGCAAAGCTAAGCAAGCTCAGGGTGGATCACAAAGTCACCACACATTCCGAGCACAAGTTCAAAGGCCAGAAGGCCAGTTCACATGCAAGATCACATATAGAGATATACAAGAGTCAAACAAGCAAGAGCAAGAGTATATATAGGTAAAGGTACAAGCAAGGTCAAGAAGTGAGCAAGTGAGGCAAGAGAGGCACAAGACCCAGCTGCGTGCAGCAGCGCTGATGATCACAAGGCGCAAGTGCCTTGGTGAAGACATCAGCAGTGTTGGCCTCAGAGGCCACGTACGCAAGTCGCAACTGTCCACGCTGCTGTAGCTCACGAGCAAAAAAGTAGCGGAGAGCAAAGTGCTTTGTCCTGTGCTCCAGTCGCTGCTCTCGACACAAGGCCAGCATGGCCTTGTTGTCTACGTACAGGACTGGAGGAGAACGAGGCGGCTCTCCAAGGTCGGTCAGTAGGTAGGTGAGCCAGCGAAGCTCCAGGGCCGCCATAGCCCGGGCGTAGATCTCAGCCTCACAACTGGAGCCGAGAACAGAAGACGAGCGGGTAGCCCGCAACGAAACAGAGCCGGAACCAAGGCTGAAGGTGTAACCCTGTGACGACCGCTGCGTAGCCTGGTCGTCAGCCCAAGAAGCGTCCGCGTGCCCAGTGAGGACCACTGGACTGCGCCCTCCAAGCACTAGCCCCATGCTCGACGTACTGCACAAGTAGCGCAACATCCTCTTCGCTGCAGCCATGTGCTCTGGTCGGTGTCTCCCAGGAGCAACATAGCGTGCGAGAATGCTAAGAGGGTATGCAAGGTCAGGTCGTGTGCAGGTCATCAGGTACATGAGGCAGCCAACAAGCTCTGCATACAGGCCACTAGACTCTACGGACTCATCCGAAGGCAGAGCTGAGAGCGAGTGGCGAGTAGGCAGAGGAGTGGCCTGAGGCGAGGAGTACGTGAAGCCGAAGCGCTGAAGGACCTGCTGCACCATGTGTGACTGAGTCAGGGTAATGGTGTGGCGTGCTCTGTCCCGGGTGATCTGCAAGCCAAGGTAGCTGCGCAGTTCACCCAGGTCAGTGCACGTGTGTCTCTTCTACAGCTCGGACTTCACGTAGGCGAGTCCAGCAGTGTCAGCTGTAGCAAAGACCAAGTCGTCGACGTACACGAGGATGTAGAACGGCGGAAGAGAGGTGTCGGTGCGCAGAAACAGCGACGGGTCTGCAGTGGAAGGAGCAAACCCAAGTGCCGCCAGCGTAGTCCTCAGTGTGTCGTGCCACTCACGCGGCGCCTGGCGGAGACCGTAGACTGGACGCCGGAGACTCCACTAGGTACCAGGAGGGAAAGACCCAGTGAAACCAGGTGGGCAACGCAGCCAGATCTCCTCGTGCAGGCTGCCCTGCAAGAAAGCAGTGCTGAAGTCGAGAGAGTGCAACTCGTAGTCACGGTGAGCAGCAACGTGCAGCAGTACCCGAAGAGTGGTCATCTTCGGGGTGGGGGAGAAGGTCTGAAAGTAGTCAACTCCCTGCCGCTGACTGAAGCCACGAGCCACGTAACGCGCCTTGAAGACAGGCGGAGAACCCGGCGGCCGCTTCACCCTGAAAATCCACATGCCACTGACGATGTTCACCCCAGGAGGGGGGACAGCGTCAACGTAGGTGCCTGTGGACTTCCAGGACGCCATCTCTGCATCCATAGCTGCCTGCCACTGAGAGGAGTAGGGACCCTCTATCGCCTCCGCGTAAGAGCGCGGAGTCGGGATGTCTAGTGCATTCGGGTCTCCCTCAGGGGTAAGCGGTACAGACGCGAGATGAGGTGAAGCAGCAGCCAGACACTGGAACTCCTCTTGCCTGTCCTCAAGGACGTCCGTGCGAAGGGCACACTCACCCCCGACGGACGGAGGACAGACAGACTCAGACTCAGCTACAAGACTAGCAGCGTAGTCTAGACGACAGCGCGCAGCAAAGTCGACGAGCTCAGTAACAAGGGCAGACGCAGCAGAAGACTCGAAAGAAGGGTCAGTGACGGCAGTAGCAAGGAGACGCGTGACAGTAGGACTGGCAGCACGAAGAGAGTCCGACTCCGGGTCGGCAAGAGCAGGAAGAGAGGAAGCAGGAGGAGAAGGTAAAGGGGCACGCAGAGGAGCAGTGGACGGACGCAGAGACATCCGGTGCGTGCAAGGGACAGGAGGAGGACGTTGACGTGAACCGCGACTACTAGTGCGCGCAGCACGAACAGGCGACGTAGGACGCGACGCACGCTCACGACGCTCAGTAAGACCTCCACTCGGACCAGTGTAGGGAGAAGGAGCAGGTAAAGGGGAGGCAGGCTGTAGCTATGACTGTGACTGGACAGGATGTGGACCCTCTAAGGGAGGAGGAGGAGGACCAGGAGAAGGTGTAAGACCAAGAACCTACTGCAGGAGTGGAACGAAGTACGGTCGGGGTCGCGTGGCGACGCCAGAAACAGCAGGGACAGCACCAGTACCCCCAGCAGGAGTACCCGCTCTAGCAGCACCTCCAGTAGCTCCAAAACCCCCAGCAGCACCTCCAGTAGCCCCAGAACCTCCAGCAGTACCAGGAGCACTGCCAGTCGGACCGCCAGCGGTAGTCTCAGCGCCAACACGCTCAGCAGCACCAGCTCCAGGAGAACCCGCGGGCCCAGCAGCTCCAGTACTCCCAGTACGAGCACCTCCGGGACACGCGGCAGCAGCACCCTCAGCAGCCGAAGAACCTGCAGCACCAGCAGCACGCCGCCAGCGCCGGGCAAACCACTCACGCAGCTCCTGTGGGGAGAGTGGCTCTCGGCAAGACGAAGCACCCGGACAACCTCCAGGCGAAGAACCTCTAGTCTCAGCACTCCCAGGCTCAGCACCCCCAGGCGCAGCACCTCCAGTCTCAGCACCCCCAGGCTCAGCACCCCCAGGCCCAGCACCCCTAGGCTCAGCCTCCCCAGGCTTAGCACCCTCAGACTCCGCACCCCCAAGCTCCGCACTCCCAGGCTCAGCACCCCCAGGCACAGCACCCCCAGTCACAGCACCCCTAGGCTCAGCACCCACAGCAGCACAAGAGTCACCAGTGACCTCGACAGGCTCGACCGCGTCTACCTGGGACACACCTGAAGGGGCAGGACCCTGAGGGGGGAGGGGGTCTACCGGGGGGGAACCTGGTACCAAGAAGAGCGGGGGTGGGGGGAGGGACGGAGTGCGGTAGGGGAAGAGGCGGTAGTAGGGTACCGACTCGTCGAACGTGACGTCTTGGGAGGACAGAACACGGCGAGAGGTGGGGTGGTAGAACTACCACCCAGGGGCGTCGGGGGGGAACCCCAGGAAGACGCAGGGAGCAGCGCGAGGGGACAGCTTGTCCGCAGACAAGTCGCGGACAAACGCCCGAGATCCCCAGACCCGGAACGCCGACGCATCGCCAACCTTCCCCGT